CTTCTTCACATGCGTTGATTTCGCTTTGGTCGATATTTGTTGTTCGTGTGAAAATGTGGCTGGAATATTATGCTTCCTATTTTGCTTTGTTGATACAAGCAAATTGATGAAAATTATTGCATTCTTTTTAAAATAAAAAAAAAAAAAAAAAAAAAAAAAAAAAATAGGAAGCATACATTTTTCAGAGCATATTCGACTGTAGCACTGTACGCTTACACACTCACGCGCACAGGTTTCTGTAAGAATATTTACTTTTTTCTCATCCATGACGCGAACATATTATGTTTGCTGCACAATGATCTAATTTTTTATCATTTTTTTTAGAGAGATATTATCGAAACAGAAACGTCATGATGAATCTTTGATTCGAAAATGACAATTTTTTAATTTTTTTCCTTGTGTTTTTGTTTGTTTATTTTTTTTTTTTTTTTTTTTTCGGTACTAGATACAGCTACACAACACTTGCAATTCATCGTGCGATCTTTATATGTGGAAATACGCTTTAGTTATTATCGATATTTATGACGTACTGAGACACTCGTTTAACGCAATCCTGATTTGCACAACAATAATTCACTGGCATTGTATCGACGTGGATCGACGATGGGAACCAGCGCTACTCTCAGAAATTAATTTTTTAATTACAGGGACCGTGAAGGTGACAATCACCCGTCGAAACCAACTGGTACAATATTAAATACTTGGGCCAATATTTGAATATGGAGGATCAGCAGAACGAAGGATGTAAAAGAAAAGACAATTGAATCGTTGAAACATGCCGATTGAAAAGAACCGAATGAAGCAGCTCGTGGTTATACCGATATACATACACGATTCTTATTATTAAATATTAATAATACTTTTGATTAAATATCTAAGGAAAAAAAAGAGAGATATAAAAAGCATACACTTAATAGGAAATTCAAATCTTGTTACAAATCGGGAAAGGAATAAATAAGAAAGAGAAGTGTAATTATAAAAACGTAAAAAACGAATTATATATCCCTTTTGATAAAACCTGGAGAGTGATGAAAATAACGGGAAAGCAGAAAAAAAAAAAAAAGAAAAAAAGAAAAAGAAAAAACCATATTGAATTCATTCGTATTAACTTATAGTAATAAAATCTGATCGTTATCAGAAACTTTCAAACAACAAAAAAAAAAAAAAAAAAAAAAAA